TAGTCCATAACAAATTACTAAATATCAAGACAGGATTTCCACTGGGAGGGTGAGAGTGGCGGTGAGGTAGTCAATGACCCAAAGTAGATAAGGGTGGTTGATCTGTCTAGAGCAGATAAAGAACAGTCTAGGTTCAAGGTCCTGGTGGTCTCCACCAAATGACCTCTGAATCTCTGATTTAATGACACTTCCAATCCTGGCACCCCTGCCCTCCGTGCTGCTCTGGGAACCCGGGCTATTTTCTCTTCTCTGAAAGAGAAAGGAAACATCCATTATGAAAACCAATTGATATAAATTGAACCTGTATGCAATTAAAAATTAAATTAAGTAGGTTCATAAAAATCTAACCTCCAATTTAACAAGCTTGATTCTGGAAGTGGCTGCTCAGACCCTGGCTGGGGGTGGTGGCAGGAATAGGGCATGGGGAGTGAGTGGGCAGGGAGTCTCATAGCTGTCAGGGGAGGAATCCTATGATTCTCTGCCACTTCCCTCAGATGAGTCTTAAGGCCACCAGGCCCCGGATTCCAGGGTCCCTCCAGGGAGGGGAGGTGTAGGGTAAGGAAAAAATGTCAGGCTTTTCTGCCCTCCCGCTATCAGGATAGATGATGGATCCTTGAGGTCCTGAATGCATGCCTGATGGAGGGCCCCTGGAGTAGGGTATGGGCATAGGTAGATGGGATTCACCTGGGCTGAGACTGGGCTTTTTAAGGGCGGCGTCACGGGGACGCCAGCAGAAGCAGAGAAGCAGCAGAACAAACGGAAGAGCAGAGAAACAGAGAGAAGGCCAGAGAGCCCAGACAGAGTGAAGACTTGCCTTCAGCACCCTTGCCTGCTGTGTACCGGGTAAATCCCAATAAAAAGCCTGCAAAAGCCACTGAGGACCCTGACTCCTCCTTTACCCTGTCCGCTGGATCAGAAAACCTGCTCTGTGTCCATTCTTGCCCCTACAGGAGGCCCTGGGCTTCTAAGGGGGGGCATGTCCCCCAATCCTGCAGGTGGTTGCAGGCTCATTTGATGCCCCCTAGCTGAATTCTGTGCCAGTGCTGGGCATGTGCTTTGTCACACCTACAGCAGAGGGGATGTCGTGATCACAGCTGAGTCTGGCTCTCCTGCTTCACTGCCCATCATTCCTACCTCATGGGACTTGCACCCTAACAAGAGTCAACAGCCACACCAACATTACTGCAGCACCCACCTTGCAATATAGGTTGTGATCTTCCTTCTATCTGTGTATCAGTAGAAAAATAAATTAAAAAATGGAGAAACCCATATTAACTTCTCAGAAAGCTGAATGGAGCCGAGGGGCAGGAAACATCAGCATATGGATTTTTCAATGATATATACTTACCTCATTTCAAATGATTTGAGGAAGTAGACAGAAAGCTTAGAGAAGACAAAAGCTTACCTGTGAGGATAGTCATTGTGTACATATTTACAGCCCAGCAAATCCAAAGTGATGGGAGAAGAGAAGAGGAACTGGCAATGTTGTCTCTTTAATTAGGGTAAATGAAAATCAGCTCCAAGGAAGGTGATGAGAATCTGGCAGAGTTAGGAGGCAGCCACGCAGCGTGGACAAGCCAGCGGAAACACCAGCCAATAAAGATTCAGGCTAAATAGGAAGGAGGGTTCTTTGCACTCCCGTAAATATAAATTTGGTTAATTTCCACAAAGGGCAAAGTAGGAAACTGGTATGATTGATATCTAAATATACTTACATATTTATGTTGTTTTAAATAATATTTAAACTATATTGATAATAAATTTACACTCTATCTGATATTAGTGTAGATTTCTTTCATTGTATTTCAGTTAACAGCCTTGATTTGGTTTTAGAAATAAATGTCATAAACAGGAAATAGTACTTTTTAATATTTTGCTTCATGATAAGTAAATGTGCTTATACAAGGCAGTGTGTTATCTAGAAGAGACTGCTGGGAGGCTTGAACCAGGCCCTCCCCTCTACCCACACCTGTCAATCCTCTTCACTGAGCTACAGTTCAGGCACGAACTTTCACAGGCTGACCTGGAATTGTCTGGCACTGTGCAGAGCACCCCCACCCCTGCAGCCCACACAGGACTCCCGGCACAGCCTCATTGCCCTCTTCCTGGTTTGGGCCCACGTCCTCATGTGTTTCAGGGAAGCTGACTTTCTTCTTTTTCTTTTTTGTAAAGATTTATTTATTTAGTAATAGAGCTGGGGCGGAGGCCAGAGGTGTGGGGTGGTGGGTGGGGCAGAGAGTGGTGGTGGTGAGAGGATTCACCAGAGACAGAATGGGGAGCAGAACAGGTGGATTTAGTGAAATACACTGCTAAGGGAGCAGCAGGCGAGATAGGAGAGGTCTGCTGTGCCATGTGGGTTAGCAACCTGGCTGGGGATGGAACTCAGGCCATAGTGGTGACAGCACTTAGACTTACTAGGCCACCAGGGAGGCCCCGAAACTGACTTTCTGTTGGGGCAAGGATTCGTGGTCAAGTTTCCCTAATAATCATTCATTGGTTTATGAAAGGGTAAGCAAGAGCATGGGACCGGATGATGGTCAATGAAATACAGGAGAGGGGTGGAGGAGATGCACCTGAGGGGTTTTGAAAAGAGTGGTATAGCAGAGGGCTCCCCTCTTCTTCCTCTGAAGGCCTCCTCACACACTGCTGTTTGCTAAAACAGTAGCAACTGTGACCGTGGGGGACCTTAGCTTGACAATGGATCCCACATAAGGAGCGTGACAGAGTATAAAGGTAGAGTCATTCAATTAAGAAACCAAAATGGAATTTTCCTCCTGTGATGGTTTGTTTTGTAGGCTAATTAATTGCTCTGCTGGGATTGACGTTTTAGTTGGGATATTTTGTATCCATAAGTAGCCCTGCCAACAATCTTATGAAGTAGGCATTACTATTATATTAACTTTACTGGTGAAGAAATTGGTGATCAGAGTGGTCAAGTAACTTGCCCAAACCCACACAGCCAGGAAGTGCCAGGTGAGCTCAGGCCACTCCAGAACTGTTGCTGCTGACTTTTACATTACCCAACAAAGTGGCTAAGGGCCACTTATATGAGGGGGCATCTGAAATCTTTTTAAACAAATCGGAGCCCATCCAGCAGCCAGCCACTTTCCTCCTTGTCCTCTTCCTCGACCCAGCACAGCATCTGCATAGTGACAGCATCTTCAATTGCAAAGGGTGTCAATTTATATCTCTCATCTCATCACATTCTCTGTCAACAGCCAGGCTCTGAAAATTAATTCCACACTGACTTAGTCCCCCCCTAAGATGCATCTGACAGAAGGAACCATCTCCAAAATATAGACTGAACAAGTCGACCTGAGAGTTCATAGGTTTTTATTTAGTTATTTATTTATTTTGAGACTCAGTCAAATTTCTCTCTGCCTCTTGTGATGGTGAATCCCTGTCCCGCTGCCTTACATTGGGGGAGGTGTAAGCTGATGGCATGGTCCTGCCTATTCCCCTGGCCTCCAGGTGGCCCAGCCTCCTCTCACCCCAGAGGCCACCTAGGCCCAGAGTGACCAGGACACAACTGGTTTATGGGTCTTTTTCAAAATGTTCCGCTCTCTGGTGTCCCCTTCCCTGCACCCAGGAAAACATCGCTATGGAAGGGGTCAGGGGCATCCAGTGGGCATTGGGGCTTCCAGGATTTGAGAATAGAATGAAAGGAGTCATCCTTCTGAGATGGGAACAAAAGGCAGGGAGCACAGACACATGGAGGGGGTGTTTGGGAAGGAGGGTCTTTTAAACCTGAGGGACAAGAAAGACAGAATCCAGAATAATAATAATAGTGGCAGTTTCTCACAGTTGTACTTTCAGTGCCTTCAGCACACTATCTAGAGTCTCACTATATCCACGACATAGGCTGAGTTGATATAATTGTGGCCATGTGACAGAGAGCAGGGCGACAGCTATCTTACTTTTAAGTCATTATATTTTTGCCATCAGTTTGCTAGTTACTTTCCATAGGTCATCTTATTTGATCCTTGTAACAGCCCTGTGAAGTGTAAACACTATTATTGTTCCCATTTTACTGATGAGGAAACTGAGACCCAATGGATTGAGTTTCAAAGCTCAGGGAGAGGGTGAGTCTTATCCTATAGCTTGCAAGCACCAGAGCCTGGAATAAAACTTCTAGCTCCAAATTTATTGAGCTCACAGCTGGCCTATTGAGATGGGCAAGCTCCTGGGCATCTGGATAAATCTTCTCCCTGGCTGCAGCAATGCCAGGGAGTTGCATCTTTCATTAGGAGACCGAGGGATGAGTCCTTTACTTGCTCGTGGAGCTGTTTATTAACTTTCTGGGCATTTTGCTGATGGAGCAATTTGCAGAGCTGTTAATGGTAATGGAACTTTGGAGTGTGAAGACACAAGGGGAAGCTGAGAAGTGAGAGGCTGCCAGGGCAGAGCTGCCCTTTGCTGGGATTAATGAAGCACGCGTGCTCTCCCCATGTTGACGAATCCTGGAAATGTCAGGTGCCACCCGCCTGTCTTGTGAGTTTGTCAACCTCCCTCCTGCCAACACCAGTCACAGCAGAGAAACTGCCAAACCCTAAGCATTCTCCTCCCTTCCAGGCTGAGGTGGGGACTCTGGTTAGGTTTGACTAACCAGGCCCATGTTTTATAATTCTGGAGCAACTTGGAATTCAGTCTCTGGATCCCTAAGACCAGGCTTTTCTGGCCCATGTTACTTTGTACAGCGAATGTAGAGAATAGCTCAACTCCGTGTGGAAAAAAAACCTTGATTCTAGTAGTTTCATCTCCATTAGAGTCAACACAAGCTATATATTGATGTTTGTAAGAAAAGAAATGTGAGAGGATGTGCCCCAACAGAGTCGGAGCCGCCTGTCCCCCGACCAGGAATTGTAGGGCTGATGTAGGTTTTGTTTTGTTTTTTTTTTTTTTTTGGATTTGCAAATACAGTTTATTTTACAGAAATTCAACATTATAAACAGCAGGCACCTCCCACCCCGCCCGCCCCCCTCCCCCCAAACCATCCCGCTAGGTGCAGACCATGCTATGCAGAGAGTGAGCAGCGATGTGGCCGTACTGCTTTGGAGGGAGATTCAAGAGCGATGGAACCTGCCTGCACCACGTCCTGCCTGCCCTGCACACGCACACGCACGCCTGCTGCGCAGGCCACCAGAGTCTGTCTGGCCCAGCCTGCACTGGGCCAGTTACATGGACCCAGCCCAGGTCTCCAATTCCTTCATGTCATCATCTTCCTCTTCCTTCTTCTTGGTGGGTTTTGATGGAAGGGTTATAGAAGGAACATTTGGTAGAGGGACTGTTTCGGGTCCACTGATTTCCAACAAATTCTTGTCTAGTTCCTCCTGTTCTAGTTCTTCTAATTCTGCCATGAGCTCATCCTCATCAAACTCTTCTCCAAACCCAACAGGCTTTGAAATAGCTGTTGAAATCTCTTCTGCCAGTTCTTGCTGGTCAGCAATATCCTGCATTAACTCATCAACTTTATCGATGTCCATGTTGTCGTGGGCAGCCTTCATGGCTTTGGCGGCATAGCCCATGTTCTTGAGCACCTCAGTGTTGGTATTAGCGTTCTCTAGGGCCTCTCGCTGGAACTCAATTGTTGAGAGTGTACCATCGATCTGTGCCAGCTGCTTTTCGTACCTCTTCTTGCGCTTCGGTGCCTGGAGGGCAGCGCGCTTGTTTTTGGTGCTGTGCTTCTTGGCGGCGGCCGTCAGCTCCTGCTCGATTTTCTTCTCGAGGAATTCCTGCTTCTTACTTAGCATCTCCTCCGTGTCCCGCAGCCGCTGGATGGCCTCTTGGGGGGTCGGGCCGCCCTTGCCCGCCTTACCCCTCCCGCCCCAAAGAGCTTCCCAAACACCGACGTGTTTGCTGCTCGCCGCGCTGGCCTGCAAAGTCCGCTCCGGCCGGCTAGGCTCCGCCGCCCGCTCCCTGCCGCCGCAGGCCTCTCCGCCGCCTCCACCCCGCAGCTCCGATGTAGGTTTTGAACTGACCGGGGTGGAGCCCTGGGCTGTACGTCCTGGGAGCCCTGAGGATGAGACCAACAAAGATGCTCTCGCAGAGGAGGGAGCAGAGCTGAGGCAGCACTTCTCACTCCACAAAGGACAGTCCCTGGTGTTATTCCACTCACTGCCTGCCGTGCCTAGTTCTGTTTCTTCTCTTAGTCTAGGGGAGAGACTATGTTTAGAAAACAGAACCTGCCATCTCAGAGCTCCATCTGTGATGGAATAAACTCCACCTTTAAATAACGAAAGGAAATTAATTCATTTATAAAGGAAAAGGCTGTGACAACTATGGACGGAAACCCAGGACAGAGCCGAGAGGGCGGGAGGCGAATCCACCTGTGGTCTCCAAAGCCTTCAGAGGGTGACATGGAGCAGGAGGGGAGTCTGGGAGATAGAGAGAAGTCATGGGATAGCCTGGTGTAGCAGGAAGAACATGGCCTGAGGTCGTCAGGGCCCTTCAGATCTGGCTCTCAGGGTTCCTTCCTGGAAGACCTTGGATTTACTCATGAACTGATCTGAGTCTTGGTTTTCTCATGTATGAAATAAGGATAATGATGCCTCATCCTTATAGGCAGGACATAATGTCAACGAGGAGTGAATCCACCTGAGATTATTTCTGGGAAGGAGAGTTTCTCCTCTAAATTTCAGGGCCTGCAAATTTGCAGAGAAGGGAGGGGTGTCTGGGGAAGATGGTAAAACATTTCTGTCCAGCAAGGGTGTGTGCTGAGTCAAGGATTTTCAAGCTGGGGTGTCCTTCCACAGTTTGCTCCCCAAATAAAAGCCCGTTCCTCATCTCAGCACTTGTGCAGAGTGCTACACTCCTGCACCAGACTAGCATGTATTGAGGGCCTTCCATTAAAATTATGTCAGAAAAATTATGAATCTGTGGAGATGGCAAAGTGCAGAAATGAATAAAGCCCAGGAAAGAGGTGGTCATCATTTATCACACAACATATTAGCAGGTGTTAGGGGCCCTGGTTCTCTGAGGCTGTCCAGATTAGCTCAAGGTGCTTCATGAATCAGCTGTAAGTAGAGACCAGGGTGCTCTTAGCCCCCATCTGCTTGGCAAAGAACCAGACTGGGAATGTTGGGAAGGAGGAGCCAGTGCAGAGGCTCAGGTGGAAGTGAGCTTGGGCAAGGAGGAGGAGGGAAGCCGGGGTGGCCCTGGTATACTTGGCTGGCAAGGTGATGGGGTGAGAGAAGAGTAGGTTCTGGGCTTTGGGGTCTCCCCACTGGAGGAAGCAGAGTTTGGGTTTTATTGAGGAGCCACTGGAAGGGTTTAGGGAGATACAAACTCTGCTTTCAAAAAGTTGTCTTGATCCAGTCATCTATTTTTGGGCAATTGTGTTTTTTCCACAGCTTACCTATTATAAACAGTGCTGCTATAAACATAGGGGTGCAGGTGCCCTTTTGGATTAATATTTCTGTGTCCTTTGGGTAAATACCTAGAAGTGGAATTGCTGGATCATATGGAAGCTCCATCTTTAGCAGATTGAGGAATCTCCACACAGTTCTCCATAGTGGTTGGACCAGTTTGCATGCAATGGAATATTACTCAGCAATCAAGAAAGATAAACTCATGCAATTTGCAGCAACATGGATAGAGCTGGAAGGGATCATGCTCAGTGAAATAAGCCAGAAAGAAAAATAAAAATACCAGATGGCCTCACTCATAGCAGGAATTCAGAAAACCTAAATAAGGGACCAGGAAAAAGACTAATTATAATAAAGTAAAATCAAAATCAACAAGCAACTGTAAACCAGAGACACTCTATGGGGGGGGGGAGGAGAGATTAGAGACAAAATAAGGGGGTACGAATTGTATGGGGACTATAATCAAGATGAAAATGCATACATTGTGCAAAAATGAAAAATGATGTAAAAATATATAAAATTAAAAATTTTTTTGTCTTTGTATCTGTGTGAAGGATGGGTTTAAAGGGTGAAGCTGTGAGCAAATCGACTGCAGAGGCAAAAGGTCAGTTTCATCCTCACTCCCCTCCCCTTGCATGGGCCTGGCCCTGGACACTATGTATGTGTGTGTGTGGGGGGTAACTGAAATGGACTGTTGTGGGGGGTGGGAGGGAGAAATCTCTGCTTTGCTCTCACTTCAGTTGGCAAAGAACTCTCCCCTGCTGGTATTCTATACTTGACCTCATTTTTGCAGAGTCCAGCAGAAGGTGTATTATTCCATCCTCTTCATTTACCCAGAAGGGAACTCAATTGTCTTGGGGAGGGAAGGAGCAACAGTCCTAGGCAGCATGGGTTTCATAGCGTCAACTCCCAGAGCAAGCCCCCTGGCCTGGACACCTGGCACCCACAGTCGGTGGCCTCGGCCTGAATGGATCTCTGCACAGGTATCCTGCAGCTGGGAACACTGATGAAATTCAAATTCTGATGGGAACTGGGTAGGGCTGGTGGATGTGCCAGGGCCCTGACTAAAGCCCAATAAGGCTCTGGCCAAGTGGGGGCTCCAGGCAGGGCTGCCTCTGGCAGTGGGGGAGGGGGATAAGCAGCCCTCATGCTTTGCTGCACTTCCTGGGCTGGGCTCTGAGCCCTGGTGTTTCAAGCCACCATGAACTCCATTCCAGGAGTTGTGTCCAAGTCTCTCCCACTGAGAAGGCCCCTGGAGAACTATATGCCCCGCGGGCCTGGCACTGACCTGACTGGCTAAGCCAGGCCCCCAGCCGGAGGAGATTCCATTACTGTTGGCCCCTGACGGCCTTGTGGTCTGGGTTGTCGGTTCACAGCTGGCCGTCAGCTCCCCACAGATCATCTCCACAGCTCACCCAGTCAGCGGACGCAGGAAAACAGCAGGACAGCATGGACGCACTTTTGGAGAAGCCAGGTTGCCTGTGGGCAACATCTCCTCCTTCTCTGGAGGAGAGGAGGAAGGAGCTCACAGTGGGTGCATGAGTGCCCTTGGCTGTGCAGTGTGGGTGTGTGGGCGCCTGTGACAGTGCCCTGCCTGCCACACACACAGCATGGGTGTGCGTGTGTGTGCGCCTGTGAGTTGCTGTACACAGACACACTTACTCATTCAACAATATTTATTGAAGACCTACTGTGTCCTCTGTCTTCTAGTCCAATTGGGAGACAATATGAACAGAGCGATGAAAAATTTTGTGTCAACTTATGAATGTGAGCCAGGCTGCCGTTAGGTTCTCCAGGGAGAGTTTGCTGGGTTGGGAACTTTGTTCAGGTTGAGAAGAGGGTTCCTGGTGTCTTAAGAAGGTCCCATATGCTGATCGACTTTCCACAAATGACAGACGATGCACTGGGCACGGGCAAGGTCCCCAGCACCAGCCTGGGGCAACTGCTCTGCTCCAGGGTATCAGGACAAGAGCCCCTTGCCTAGACCCCACAACCTCCCCGCTGCTTGCCTGAGTTTGCTGGCCCCCCTGACTCTGCCCTCCCAGACCGGGAAGGCTTTAGGGACCTCATCCAGCCCTGGAGCTCTTGCTTTCCTGCCTATCAATATGAAAAGCTGCTTTTTCCAGTAGAGTAAGGCTTTAATGGAGAGCTGTTTTAAGCTCCCCTCACAGCATGTTCTAACAGCTTGTTGCATGAAATCACTCACTCGAGTGGCTTTCAGTCCAGGCCAAAACTGTGCCATGCAAACCAATCCCTCTCAGCTCCCCACCTCCCCACTCCCAAGCCAGTGCCCTCCCTGCAAGGCATCTCTATGCCCTGCAGGCTGGTTAGAGGCCACCACCCGCAGATCACATGGACCTGTGGCCATGGGACTGAAGGAAGCAGACCAGGCCCAGAGAGCAAGACTGGAGCCTGGTAGGTGCCAGTGGGGTCCACCTGGTAGGTACCCCGGGGGCAGAAGAGGCAGAAGGAGTGCCCAGGAGAGACAGGATGTGGAAGGTTACCCCTGAGGACTGCCTTTCCCTAGAAACAGAAATCATAGAACTATAGCTGGGCAGGATTTTGACAAGTCATCTTCCTAGAATTGCAAAGAGGTTTAAAGAATTTTCTAGACCAGCAGCACTATGTCTCAATCTTGATGGCGTTGCTAATTAGATGGATAACTTTAAGCAAATTGCTTTTACCTGTCTGTGCCTTATTTTTTTTCCTTATCCATAAAATGGGGATACTTTGGGTACTGCTTTAGGGGGTTTTCATGAGGTCTGAGTGAGATGAAAGGTGTCCTGGACTGAGGACAGTGCCAGATGCCGAGCACGTGGTGTAGATTCTGCTTGTTTGGATGTGCAGCTCAGAGGGGCAGAGCTTCTGCAGCAAGGTTCTCCGGGGTGCCAAGGTGAGGAATGTAGTGCCCACCCTCCTTCCCACCTCCACCTCCCTGCTCAGATGTTCCAGCTCCCTCCCCCATCCCTCTTTCAGCCCCAGGCTTGGTTCTCTTTCTAGGGATTAGACACCCAACCACTGCCCTGTTGCAGCCCAGATTCCCATCCTGTACCCTGGTTCCAGCTGGTGTTGGTCCCTGTGGTCTGCTCTGGTCCCCTCTCCCCACCCCTCGTGCTGACCCCACAGCCTCCCTGATTTCATCCTGAACCAGCTCCCCAGGGCTCCTGCCAGACTCCAAGATACCTCCTACCTGCCCCACTGGACTCTTCTCAAAGGAAACAACTTTTGGGGAAAAGCTACTTTAAATAAAAATGGTGGGGGCACAGTAGGACCTTATTAAAATACAGCGAGTTTAACAAGGTCTCAATCCCCTCAATTATTAACAATGTACTTGTTCTTCAGAAAAGTACCCATGAAAATTTAAAACGGATGAAAATGGTTGTTCGCTTAAAACTGCTCAGTTAATCTGTGAGTAATGTTTTATTCAGTGCATTAAATGAACATGGAGGTCGGACACCTACTGGTCCATCACCCCAGGGCACCAACATGCGCATCGCTGGAGAGAGATGGCAGGACTTAGAGGGGGTGATGTGTAGGAAGGAGTCCTCTGCCAATTCATTGTCTAGCCCAGCCTGAGTTAATGGGTGCCCAGGAAGTTGGCTGCCAAGGCAGCGCCCAGGAAGTTGGCTGTCTGGGAAGGCAGGGTGGGGCAGGGGAGAATGGTGCTGGGTGAGTGGGAAGGCTGGTCCCTCATGATTGTGTCCTCTTTGGAGACTCCCTCCTGGGACAACACTGCCCTCACTTTCACCATTGCTCCCTCTTGGTGGTCATCCTGAGAAATAGGAGAAACGGAGTTTTCACATCCATACTGGAGTAGCTCAGAGGAAGTGGTTGTGGCTGCTGCTTTAGAGCTTCTGGAAGGCGGAGGAGAGGGGCCCACCCTGAGTAGGTGGGATTGCAGCCTGACACAGGCAAGGTTGGACCATGTTCTAGAAGGAAACATGGGCTGCTTGATGCTTGGTGCTCTTATTCTCACTCTGATCTGAACTTGGCCATAGTGGAGGGTCAACACACACATGTTGAATGAGTTAATAAATTATTAAGTAAAGAGGAATGAAGTCAAGGCACAGGCCTTCCCAGGGACTCTCACAGAGCTTCTCCTGCCTGCCTTCCAGGGTATAGGGTTGTGATCTTGGGATGGCCATCGTGGAGCCTGACCACCTGACTCTGCAAAACCCAAATGTTCCCCTCTGGGAGTGGGACTACTCTGGCTTTGTCCTATGATCTGGCCCTGGATATTGGGCAAACAGTCTCCAACATCCAATGGCCCCACTGGCATCTTTTGGACTCCCCCAAGGAGCAGCTGGGCACGCAGACCTGGTGCTGGGCTGAGCCCTATTTTGTGCACGACCCAGTCTCCCAAGTCCGTGTCAGTTCTCTCCAAATATCCTTGGAAATTGACTCCAGAGATGAATGTGTAAGGCAAGGTTTGGGAGCTTGGATTGGGCTTGGAGAGGTGCTGACTTGTGCCTCTGGGACCCCAGGAGTGGGCTGTGCACGAGTGTTCTGTGCTGGGGGCGTGAGTGCGCAGGTCAGGGCTGAAGAAAGGGAACCAGGGGAACTATTTTAACAGTTATCAATGAGGCCTGGATTGCGAAAGAGGATGAAGTGAATGAGGAAAGTCACCCCTCTGCCTTGAGGGGTGCACCACCGTAAGGAGAGATGCATTACTGGGTTCTGGAGATTCTACACTGAAGCCCAGCACTCTACAGTTGGCAAAAACAATAAGGCTTCCCTGGGCCACTCAGTCCTTCACGTATTCAGTGACGCTGGCCAAAAGTGAGCTCAAATATTGGTGGGGAAGAGAAGCAATGACAGGTCACCAAAAGATGGAGACTTAGTGATAAAATGCAGGGGAAAATTAAAGCAGAGTAGGAAATCGAGTCGCTATAGGGATAACCTCATTGAACAACATGGTTTGAGAACTTTAAAAAGGTACAAATTAGTGCCTGGACCACCCAAGTACCCAGGGGTGAGCATCTAGGAAGAAAGGGGAACCAGTGCAGGGTGGTGAGAAACTGGTCCGGGCATTTGGCAAAAGTCCTGGTTTGATGACAGAAGATGAAGTGACAGAGGAGCCAGGCAGGCTCAAGAAGGGTGGGGAGGATTCTGACTTTATCTCAAGTAGACAGGGAAGTCACCAAGTGATTTTATTTATTCACTTTTTTTATTTTTGCATAGAAGAACTGGGGTGCAGGCTGGAGGCATGGGGGTGGGCGTGAGAGGATTCACCAGAGACAGAATGGGGAGCAGATCCACCGAAATGCACTGCTGAGGGGAGCAGTGGGTGAGACAGGAGAGGTCTCCTGTGCCATGTGGGTCACCTCCCTGGCTGGGAATTGAATTCAGGCCATAGGGGTGATAGCGCTAAGACTTAGCCCCTAGGCTACAAGGGAGGTTCCTGCCACTGAATGATTTTAAACGTGATTTGATGTTTGTTTTGAAATAAGACAAAACAAACCAGAACTCTATTAAGAATAGATGCAGGAAAAGTATTTGAAAAAAGTCGGGGCAGGTATGATGGTAATAGTGTGGTCAAAGGCAGTCTAAGAAACAGTCAGGTCAGGACTGTGATTTAGGATGAGGTATGAGAAAAACAGTAGTAAAAGGAGTTGCACTTTCTCCAAGGTAACGCCATCAGTAAAGGTAGTATTTAATAAAATTACTCCACATTTAGTGCTTTTGTTTTTGCCCAAGAGGAGATACTAAGTGTAGAGTTCAGGGAAGCAGATGAGTCTGGATCTATTTTTTTAAGTAGGGTTATTAATGTATTCTTCATGTAGGAAATTCACCCTTGGGGGTATAAAGGTGGATGAATTTTGTCAAATGAACTTAGCTATGGAACCACCGGCACCAGTCATGTCAAGAATATTTCCATCACCTCGAAAGATTTTCCCACCCCCCAGCTCCTAGAAATAACTGTTCTGTTTTATATCCCTATAGGTTTATCTTTTCCAGAGGGCCATACAAATGGAATCAGATAGATGCAGTCACGTGGTGCATGGTATTTTGAGACAAGCTTCTTTCATTCAGGATAAAGCCTCTAAAATTAACCCACGTTCTTGCATCGGCAGTTCACTTCTTTTTATTGCTGAGTTTTATTGTACAGATGTGCTGCAATTTGTTTTTCCATTTACTTTTAGATACATATTTGGGAATATTTCCCACATGTGTGGCCATTATGAATAAAGCTGTTATAAACAGTCACACACAGTTTTTATGTCCACACATATCTTCATTTCTCTTGAGTAAATAACTAGAAATGGAGTTTCTGGGCCAGAGGCTAAGTGTGTGCTTCACTTTGAAAGAAACTGACAAGCTGTTTTTGAAGTGGTTGTCCCACTTTGATTTCTCTCATAGTGGATGAGAGTTCTAGCCACTCCCGATCCATGCTGGCACTTGCCAGTGCCACTGTAAAAAACTTGCAGTTACTGGGCTTCCCTGGTAGTATAGGGGTTAAAGATACAGCACTATCAAGCTATTGCCAGCCACTACAGCACAAGTTTGATCCCCTGGCTCAGCCAGGGAGCTAACCCACATGGCGCGGCAGACCTCTCCTGTCTCGCCTGCTGCTCCCCTCAACAGTGTACTCCAGTAGATCCCCCTATTCTGTTCCCCACTCTGTTTCTGATGAATCCTCTCACACATACACCCCCCCACACACCTCTGGATTATACCCCACTTCTTGTATGCATAAATAAATAAACCTTTAAAAAAACTTTCAGTTACTCTAATAAGGGTATAAGGCTGGACATTATACACACAGTCACAGGAATGCAATACTGGGTCAGGAGTGAACATTCACAGCAAAGACAGAGGTCTGAACAAAGCACAGCAAGAGGGGCCCTGTCAGGTAGAAGGAAACGAAAGTGCATACTCCACCATGAAAACAGGGAAATATTTTAAGAAGAAGGCAGAATCTACTGGCCAAATCTTGCTAAATGGCTGCATAAGAACGAGAATGGATGATTGAATTAGGAAGACAGTGCTTTCTAACGAACTCAACAAGAGCAATTTTGGGGTTGTAGTGGTGCTGGTACCAGGTGAGAGTGAGTGAAAAAGGAAGGAAGTTGGATAGAAGGACAGGCTCTTTGTGTTCTAGGACAGGGTGCAGAGCCTGGAGGCTGCTTCTCCCGTTTCCTCCTTTATCCTTGGTACCATATAGAAGTCTAATTTTATTTGGGGTGGCAGTGTGCCTAGTTGAAAAGACCACACTTTGCAGCTTTCTGAAAAAACTGCAGTAGATATGTTAGTGGTACTTGGTAAGTGGACTTCCAAGAAAACTCCTTAAAGAAGGAAAGGCAGTAAGCTGGCAAGTGGCCATTGAAGTCAGCACCAGGGATGACAGAGAAGAAAGAGGAATTTATATTGTGGATATTTTATTAAACTGTTGAACTAGCTCAGATCTCTCCCCTCCAGATTGCTCCTCCTTGAATCCGTAGATGGTGAAGTCAATATATTCAAGACTATTAGCAGTTGAATATATTTTCTAAATATAAATGTAAGTCTTAATTGAATATACCAAGTCTCTTTAATTAATCTATAAATTTAATACCAAAATAAATAGCAAAATAATTTGTTTCAGAATTAGATAAGCTGATGCTAAATTCACATAGAAAAGGTAAAAAGCAAGAAGAGCTCAGGACATTTCAAAAGAGATGTGAGTTAGGGGAGATGAGTGCTATAATCACATGTTCAAGCTATAATAAATAAAACAGTTGGTATTATGATCAGTGAAATAGAAGATTGAATTCAAAAACAGAACCAGATGCATAAGGAAAGTTAGAGTAGTTTGCAAATGCTTTCTTAGATATTCTTAAATAATAGGATAAAGATGGGTTTTTCAGTCAATAGTTTTGCAACAAAATAATGTAGCCATCTGAGAAAGTTACTGTTGAATCCATAACTAGAACATTAATAGACTCTTTAAGTAGGGTTTACTCCAAATGGATCAAAAATTAAAAATGAATGGCCTCTCTGGTGGCTTAAGGGGTAAGTCTCAGTGGTATCACTTACAACCTGAGTTCCATCCTCAGCCCTGTACCTAACCCACATATGGCACAGCAGACCTCTCTTGTCTCACCTCTTGTTCTCCTCAGCAGGGTATTTCAGTAGACCCACCTGTTCTTCTCCCCACTCTGTCTCTGGTGAATCCTCTCACCTCCCACATCTTTGGCCTATACCCCAGTTCTTCTATGCACAAATTAAAAAATAAATTAAATCCTTTAAAAAAGTTAAAAATAAAGTCTTACAGTTACCAGGAAAATTAAAACAGAATATTTATAGTCTCAGAGTGGGAAAGGCCTTTCTATAAAAGGAAAGCATGCACACACACATATGCACACACATGTGCACACACATACATATGGAGAGACCATAAAATGAAACCTAGGTAAGTGTGATGACAAAAACATTTTTTTTTAAAGTGTTTATGAAAAAACCCACAATAAGCAAAGCCAAACAACAAATGATAAACTGGGGGAAGTGTTTGCAA